TCAGCCCTCTGGAGCTAGTTATAGTCTATTGACTTTAGGTCTTCCCCTGAGACCTTATCTCCTGGATCCAAAGGCCTTATTGACAGATGTGTAGTGTAGCCCCACACAGGGTGTGAACCAGCCTCCCAAAGCAGCCTCTAACGCAGGAAAGGAAATGAAAACAGAGAACCGCCAGGGCATGTGGGGCCACTAATGTCCTGCTAAGTATGTCATATGCAAAATGTATGCAGCAACTGGCCAGGGAGCCTCCTGCTCCCAATGTCCCCTCCCTGCGGAAACTGGGCCTTTGGTGTGAACACAGGCTTGACTACAGGGCACCTTCCCCAAAGTTCGTTGGCCTCTGCAAATGGAAGAAATGGATGGAATGCTCTTAAGGCCCCTCTGGCAATGCATCTGGGCTCAGTGGAGACCTGGATGATGAGAAATATCTGAGTTCATTCCAGGCCGAAATGCGGCATTTTCTAAAACGTTTTCTGGAAAGCAGCCTGGCCAGTGACTCAACAGAGTCCCTATGAGAATTCAACTGGCTCTACCAGTCCTTTGGCAAGAAGTGAGGTGGAGGGAAGTTGAAGGGAAAAAGTTGGACTATGATTTGCTCAAATCTTACAAAAAGGTATTTTTAGAAAGCAGGTATAGAATCTGTGGTACACTGAATAACTAGTCTTAATTCTTCACCACTTCTAATAGAATTGTACATGCAAAACTTTGTCATGGCCTCGTGGAGCCAGAGTATACTTCTGTATGCCTTAAATTTGGCCTTGGCCCTGTGGTCTTCGTTGACTAACAGGATGTTGGCATAGGTGATGAGATGTGCTTGTGTGGTTGGGCTCACCTCTAGCACTCCAGAGCTGTGTCTTGAGATGATCATGCCCTGGGTAGCTGCTGCCCTTCAGCTCTATTCTGGAATTCAGAAAGCAGACCTGACTCCAGTCTACAAGGAACAGCTGAACCATGACTGCACTGTGGCTGACCCAGGACCCTATTATCATGAGAATGAATGCTTCTTGTCATAAACCACTGAGATTCAGGGTAGTTTATGTATAGCATTAAGTATAGCAATAGCTAACTGATACAGAAATTGAAACCCAAAGAGGGCACATGACCAGATAAAAACTTCTGAGTCCAGAGTCCATTCTGTCTCTGCACACCACCTGTTGAAAGACACTAGAGAGCAGGTGGGACGGCCACTTACAGCCATGAGGAGGCAAGAAGGACCTGATTTACCCTCCAGTTTTAAATGGCTAAAAACCAGGCAAAATACCATATATAAGACAATGGTTTTCAGACATTGGGTCGAACAGGGCTTTGACCCCCAAGAGAAGGGAAACAAATGCAGTGAGCCCCGTGATAGCTCCAACCGACTGCCTGCAGACACATCGCAGGCTGCAGCTCAGAAGAGGGAACCAGATGGAGTCTAGTGGTTTCTCTGAATTGAGGAAATGGATCTGGGAGCCCAGGGAGGCCAGAGGGACTTGTGTATGTAAAGCAGAGTAACAGAGAGAGAGAATATGCTTTGGAGATCTTCAGAGGATTACTCTTAGGTCTTCAGCTAACTGCCAGTTAATACATGTGGGGAAATCACCCAAGGAATAGCTAGAGTAATTCCCAGAGATAACACAGAGCTGGGAATAGTTCATGTTCCCAACAGGCAGACTAAAGAAACCCCTCCCCAAAAGGTCATTGAACACAGAAGGGTATTGCCTCAGGAGTGGGGCCAGATTAGCTCTAGAGGAAAAATTGCTCTGGTTCCACCTAACAAAACTTTAACAGTAAGCCTCAAAAGAGTCAGTTTTCTCCAGGATGTTTCCAGGTTACTTCCCTCAGTCCCAAAACAAGGCTCAAAAAATATTTGAAGAAATAGCAAAAAGAAAAATCACCCAAAAAAGCAAAACTAGCATCTAGCAATGCCAAGCGCACAATGGCTGGCATCCTACAATTGCCAGGCATGCAAAGAAGCAGTGAAACATGGCCCATGATGAGCAGTCAAACCAACCAATAGAAATGGAAACAGAGCTCAGGAATGACACAGATGATGCAATAAGTAGACAGCAACAGCTTTAAAAATACAATACATGTGTGTTTCAAATCCAGGGAGAAAATGCCCCATGTGATTATTTAAACATAAACATGGCTCATTCATCTGGTCATTCTTTTAACAAGGATGTGCCATGTGTGGTGCTAAGTTCTGAGGAACTGGATGTGTCCAAGAGAGGAAGTGCCAGCCCTCTGGGACTCACCTTCGAATTAGGAGACAGACAATACAGGAAACATGAGAATCTGAGTTAAGAAGGAGCTGAGGCTGGGCAGGGTGGGCCTAAGCTCGTGTTAAGGTTGAGTGTGAGAGCAGGTTAGGGTACAGAGAGGAAGGGAGAGGAGGCAGGCTTAGGACAATGGTGAGTCACATGTTTGACTCAATGGTGAGTGACTGGAGCAGGGGTAAGACATGGAGGGTGGCTGAAAGGAGACCTGTGGGGATTTGAGCTTGTGAGCACGTGGGGGAAGACAGTGTTCCTCCCATGACACGTGTCCAGGGCCTGCCAGGGCTTCAGGGCAAAGCAGGTATAGAAAGGCCAGGAGTGAACGTGGAAGTTGAAAATGCGTGTGTGTAAACTGAGGGAGGGGAAGTGGCGTTTCCTTTAACACCAGCTCTGCCTCACTGTGTGGAAAGTGGCCTCTGGATGTGGCCCTGGTTGCTCCTCTAAAGAAATGGAAGGAGGTAACTGCTTTAATTTGGGTTTCCACAGCGCAACGCCAGCCAGGGGGCTGTGCCAGTTTCCCCCACACTAAGAGGGAACTTGGAGCAAAGAGGGAGCAGTAAGCTGGCTGGGTGTTCCTCCCTCTCAGTTCACTCAGCTCCTCCTCTCAGAAGCACAGCCCTTCCCCAGGCCTGTCCTGTGTGTGATACTGCTGTTATCGTTTCTCTGAAATAGCTTCTGGGTTTGTTTTTTCCATCACTGTCCTTAGACAGAGGCAAGCAGTAGTTCCCTTGTCCTCAGCCCCATGCCTCAGGGGACCCTGAACATTGAAGGGCTTTGCTAGGACTTTCTAAGCCTCCTCTCTGGGGCTGGGACCAGCCACAACCAACAATGTCATCCCTGCAGGCCACCCCTACCCTAGACCAGGCCCCGTGTGGGTCTCAGTTCTATATTTTTCTTTCACTCCCACTTGTGCATGAGGTCAACCCGTGTCCCCAGGTGCACCAGGCCTCATGCCTGTGCAGCTGCTCTGGGGCTTTTTGGTCAATCTCTGGTTCCCACAGGGGCAGATCCCTGCTGCCAGCTAGTGTGACATTTCTTTCATGGTACTGCTTAAGACTGGGC